GAGTTCCTTAAATTCAGAGATTCATTCACTGATTTCATACACACACACATGCACCCACACAATTTGGATTCTACTTTTTTATTCTAAATTTTATTCTCGAATATTACTCTTCTAACTATGAAACAAACTTCTAGACCATCGGATCCTTGAAAATAGAAACCAGATATCATTAATGTCTGAATACCCAGAGGTCAATACAGTACATTGTGAATGGTATGAGTTAAATATTTTTATTTAGGTAAATAATTTAATGATAGAATTCTCAAATTTCTTTAAACACACTATTTCAAGCTACTATATTTATGTCTAGAATGTAGATATGAAATGGTACAAATTGTACCTAAATATTGAACCATGAATTCAGCAAATAGAGTATTTAAAAAATCCTCCTGAGTTAGGTTTCTACCCCCAATTCCACTTACTCTTACTTTTCTCAAACTATTTCTACTGAAGATATTTAGTTAAATCTTAATGGACAACATGTGTAAAGGTGTGCTGACAGCAGGGTTAACTGAGACAAGAGTTCCTGGCCTCTGCAGAGGCCCACTTCCTGTTGGAAGCCAGTCCTTTCCTCTGTTCTGCTTTAATCCAGGCCTGGGTGAATGAAGCCCCACTAAGTAGTATTGACCATTTAAGTATGGAATATATAACTTAAATGTATAAATAACTTTAAAGTAGGAAAATGGTTATCTTTTAAAGAAAAAGCAAATGGAAGACCAGCCATTTCTCTTGAGCACACCTGGCACAACACTGAACATCCCCTCCCCTAATGTCTGCCTCAGCCTTCATTTGTCAACATCTCATTTCCCTGATCCTCTTGCTTCCATCACTATAGCTAGAGTTACCACAGCGGGTTCATGGAGAGCAAAAAGCTAAAGGAAACTAGAAATTTTACACAAGATTTACATTCTGCAGACAGTGATAGACACACATGGTGTGAACTATTAAGAATGGTAGCCTGATTGCTTTCAGGCTGCTTAAGAACACTTCTTATTGAGAGACTCTCTTGGTCTTGGAGCAGTAAGGAATGATGAGGATTGTTTTAGTGGTGAAAAGAATGACCCTCTAACATCAGAGAGCATATGGTCCTTGTCACCAAGTTGGTGGAGATCAGAGGAATTGGTTTTTTTTTGGGGGGGGGGGAATACATATATACATATACATATATGTATGGTATAATTTAATAAAATTGCTTTTCTTATGTTTCACTGCTTTATAAAGTCACACCCCATATACAGGCATCATTAAAATTCACTATGGTCAGTACCAAATTTAGAAGTTTCGAGCATTGTAAAAGCACAGCAAGGAGTTATAGACCCTAAAGTATACTTCAGGATGGGTCAGCCTTAACTTTACTCACTGCGGAGTGCAGGCACTAAGTTCTGTCTAGTTCTGCCTGAGAAGAGAGGACTTTATCTATGAGTACTGTCACTTGATCACCAAAGAGGGAACAAAAGCTTTTCTTGGCTTTGGCACTGTCCCCTGGAAGGCTTTCTGACTGATGGAAATAGACAATGAATCATCCAAAGTGGATCAACAACCCCCATATGGGCCTAGAGAACACACTGGAATCCAACCCAGACCAGGACCCAGAGACTGGAAGCTGAGAATTATTGTCAGCTACATGAGTCTTCATCAAAGCATAGCAGCATGGCTCCTTCCCCTCAACCCATTCTTCAACCTAAAGCCTAGAAGAGGGGAAGCTCTTTGGGAGAGAAGGGAAGTTGATGCAGATGAAGGCTGGGATCCTTCACAAGGTCTGATGGTCTAAGCCACACCTAACTAAGAGTGTGGAATATGATCCCACTTGGAAAATGAATGGCACTATTTAAGAGTAGAGCATCTTGGAAAAATCTAGGATGCCAACTCTGAAACTTTAACTCAAGAATATACCAGTATGTAGGTATATTCTCTTCTTTAAAATAAGGATGAGTATTTTGGTTTTCAAGTACCACACAGAAACTTCTTGAGAACTTGAATTGCCGAATACAGTGCACAGTTTTCAAGAGAATCTACGTCTTGAATGGGTTAAAACATCATTTATAACCAACTTCATGAAACATAGTTCTCGTTTTTTCTGGTGATATGAAATTAAACATGGAACTAAACTTTCACTCACAACACATAACCAACCAAACTGTATGTTCAAGTACAGGTTTATGCAAAATCTGCAATATATAACTACATTTAATCTTTCAGAGTGGATAGATAGGGCTACCCGCTCACTCAGTATATCCTACCAAACACAAGAGCAGAAACTTTTCTATTTCAATACAAATATGGGCAGAAATTATATGATGATATGCTGTTCATTATGATCAGTTTGGTACAATTTAAAAAAAAAATAAACTTGTGCCCTTCATTAGAAAAAAGAAATTATAAGATGAAAAATAGAGGTTCTTCCATAAAGTTTAAGATTTAGGGTAGAAGAAGACAAAACCGAAATTCCCATGAAGTAAAAAATAATTCCACATTGGTCCAGTACTCCATGAAACCCTGAGATGGACTATAGTCCTCAAAAGTGTGTAGATAGAAATCTCGGTTCACCAAGACACATTAGTATGCATCTAACTGCCTCATCATCATCTTCCTACTGTATTCATAAGCCAAAAACAGTGACCCATTAGCAGGGAACGCTCGAATCATAGTAGCTGTCAGTCCAGAATATAAGGCTGTTATTCCTTCACTTTCCACAATACTTAAAAGAGTCCCGATAAATCCTGCCTGTTTTCCAGACATGGAAAGAACCTGAATTCTGGATTTGATACAATCCACTGGGAATATGACAAGCCAAAGGCAAATCCCAGCTATTCCACCACTTAACATCAAAGAGACAGGGCCTAGTTCATCTTTTGATCTCCCTGAGGCCAAAAATGATCTGCTCAGTTCATAGCCACCAAAGAAGAAGAAATAGCCTGGTACTTCTTGAAGTAGAGTACTCGAGAGACCGTGGTAGAAGCCCAAGGGGCCATCCTTCCTAAGGATACCCTTCATGACAGACCAAACTGTATTGTGGCTTTTGGCTATCTTCCCTGACATCTCCATTTCGTGCATGGTCTGTAGTCGGCACTTCACAAGCTCAGTGGGACACAGGGCCAGCGCAGCAAACCCAGAGGCTAAGGAACCGGCAGTTGCAGTCTGCAGATCACTCAGCTTTGCCTGCTTGTCCAGTCCCACTACTTTCTTCACAAACTGTTGGCAGAAGCCGTAGCACATGAAGAGGACAGAGTTCTCGGCGACGTAGGCCATCAGCGCCGGGCCGGTCCCCTTGTAGAAGCCGCGCAAGCCCACTTGGGAGTATGTCTTCAGGCAGCAGTCGGTGAAGCCCTTGTACAGGGCAGGGAACGTCTGCATCTTCACTTTCACTGTGTCGAAGGGCTGCCCGGTCAGGACACACGCGGTGCCCCCGAGGGCCCCCGCTGTGAGGTCGATGGCGGCTTGGATGACAGGGTTGGACTTCATGTTCGCCCACTAGTCCTCTGGTCTCCGTGGAAGGAGACTCTCAAGAGCCGAGACCGGCACCCGTGGTCCCGCCGCCCACTCTCAGCTCTCACTCCGCGGCGGAGGAAGCCGCTTAACCCCACGCTAGGCCGCGGGCCGCCCTCCCCGCGCGCTGAGGTAACTCCCGGCCCGAGACTTCGCGCGCGGCTCTCCAGTGCGCCCTACGGGTAGAGCCCCGGGAACCGCCCGGCGCCACCCCGCCATCCCTGCAGCCCACACGGAGTAGACTAAATGCATAAACACTGTTAATGAATACAGCAACTGACAGCTATTCGATAAATTCTTGCAAGGACGAAGTCACGCTGTGGGGAAAGAAATGCTTTTGTATTCGGCCAGGGCCCCGGCTCCCAGGTCTTCCAGTTGATCCAGCCTGGAGTAGTCGGTGGGTCAAGCTACACAGAGGTTTACTTATGAAAGATAAAATTCTGTAGTGGGAGAGAGGTTACATGACAATTGGTGGCTGCTTTTGATCAGAAAACTCTTAAAGGTCTCAGCCGGGAACCCAAGTTCTTGCAGAGGGGCCGGCCCTGCTGTGCCTCTCCTGGGCCTGCTTCTCACGGGCCTGGGGTGCTGGGGTGGCCTGAGGCGGGAAGATCCGCTATCCCTGCGGGGCTGGAGAAATATTTCGTGGCAACAACGCCGAGGATATGGGACCGAGTCATTATTTCTAGAGGTGGGTGCTTGGCGTTTTATAATGTTTGGAAAACATTTATATATCGCCAAGAAACTTGACAGTAAAGGGCTGTGTGGCTTCAGCAATCTATACTTGCTAAGTTTCGAGGTTCTTGAGGAGCCATAGTTTTATTTAGCAGCAACAGAAGTTTGGAGTATAAATGACAACACACCTAGCTTCTAAGGCAAGATGCAGTTTGGGATATCAGTGAGGGTACTGCTGTTAAGACACACTATTTTCCTCTCAGTTGCTTATAATCCCAGTGTTAACGAAGTCTTACATTCTAAGGCCTAGTTGGTATTTTACTTTAAGGGGTAAAAACAAAATGGGGGAGGGGACAGGAAATATGCTGAGATGATTTTTTTTCATCTAGAAATCTTTCCTTATCTGATTATCTTTGGCTGTTAATATTTAAAAGTTAGGCACTGAGAAGCCAATTGTGCATAGAGTTTGTCAACAGGTAGACTTCATTATACTTATGACCTGGCCTTTTCTTGGGAGAATGTCTAGATGTCAGTATTTGGCTTCTTCTCTGGAATCATATGGTTTCTTTAGAGAATAATCTTCCAATCTTGATACTGTGTATAGGCGTGTGGGAAGGGAGGTTGGGCGTGTATGCCATGAATAGGGATTTAATGAGACCAAGATGGGGGAAGAGAGGTGACATTCCTACAGTAAAGGATATAGATTTGCACGTAATTCTCTTGTTGGATGCTATCCACCCCAGCCATCTGTGTCTGCTTTCCCTGAGTTTGAGCCTTCTTTGGTTCAACTTACCTAGAAAATTCCCAGGGTGGGATAGGGATCTTGGACATCCAACAGCACTGAACACAGACTTAAATGAATCCCATGTTTCCAGCCCCACACCTTCCCCCCATTTTTTGGAAACTTTGGCCTGCAAAAACTGAGCCTCACAGGTTCTATACCAAGTGGGTTTGTCTCTTTGGTACACCCTCTTGTAGACATTTAGCATGTAACTTTCTCTGATCTCTGAATTTCTCATTTCTTCATCTGCTTTGGCCTTCTGATGAGTTGACAACTCTTATTCACTGTTGTCTCATTTCTTATTATCTTTGTCTTTCGGGATTACTGTTATTTTGGCAGACTTTTTTTTTTATAGAGAAAAGATACGTGAGAACAATCTGCCATTTTAAACTAGAAAAGGATTTTTAAATTCTTCATGTCATATTTGAGGGATTTTAAAAATGTTTTGATATCACCCTCAAAAAAGTCCAAGAGAAAAAAGCACATTTTAATACTTATCGTAGAGGCCCTATCAAGTTATCTAGAAGTGTATTCAATATGTTAATGACCACCGATTGTCAGTTAATTACATCTGGTTCACTGTCATTTTTTAAAAACAGAGTTTTTTACAAACACGAGAGATGCAGAATACTATAATAAATCAGCAACCACTTTTGCATTAACTTCATATAGATGTTTTGGAGAAATCAAATTAATAATCAAGGCCAGGGAATCACAAGGGCATTAATAGAGAAATGGTCTGTACCTTCACTGAATTGTCGGACAGCTGCACAAATAGTAGAAACCGAGATCAAATTCCATGAAATATATTTAAACAGTTAGACTTGGAGAGAATGGACCCTAACATATACTAAACACTACCCAAGATAATAAGCAGTCTTGAAACTATTTTCCCCATTCTTCCCTATCAAAAATGACACGTTTTAAATTTAAGCACATACATACCAGAAAACGAGAAAGCAGCTTCCAATTTTCAGTGAAGATCCTCAACAAAATAAGAACACCCAAATCACATGCTCTCTCACAATTAGATTAAGTGGCCAGATAGGATTACGAGGGAAAGTGAGGTTTGAGTTGAAGCCTGAATGACAAAAAGCTAGCCATGGAAAATATCTGGAGACTGTTCCAGGAAAAGGAAACTGTAAGTAATAAAGCCCTGTGGTGAAAGAGCTTGGCATTTGAAGTACAGAAAGGCCAGTATGGCTGTGATGAGCAGTCTTCCTGACCCGTTTCATAGAATTCTTAGAGGCCATGTTGACATGAGTGTTTATTGCAGCATTCTGTGCAACAGCACATTTAAAATGGGACAACCTAAGTGACCAGCAATAGGGGAGTGAATAAAATTAAGACAAAATCTATCATGAAAAAAAGCAGATCTATATATGTTGGTAAGGAAGGTAAGTCATGTTTCTGAATGATAGTTTTAGAATAGTGTCTGTAACAAAAATCATACTTTTCTGCTTTACAAAACTACATATATCTTAACATTTGTCAAATACCTAATTAAAATGGGCTTTAAATGTTTTTATGAGGCTAATATTTTCGAACCAAAGATTTTCTTTATAGATCAATCTCAGAAGTGAACTGCATGTAACTCTGCATTTTGTAAAATTTATTACTGAGTCTTCTAAAATAGCTCAAGTGATGCATTAGATTAGAATCTTTACAGCATGTGAAGAATGTGAAAATTATGTTTGGGAAATTCTGAAATGAGACTGTTATAGTACTGACATCCTTTATGTGCAAGTTGGATGAACAGACATGGACAAATCACCTTAGTTCTCAGATTAAATAATTAAGCTGAAAATATTTAGAAATATAATCTTAATCCAAACCAATGGAATGAATTCTATGAACAGTACCTGATAGCCCTTGCTTTGTTTTGTTTCTAAAATTTTAATCAGGTAAGTGTAGTACTTAAAAACACACAAAACTATAAAAAGACATTCAAGTACAAAAATTAGGGTAGTTTAGGAAGGTTCTGTACCTTGTTTAACTTCCAAATAGAGCAGTGAGATTAGAAACTTAACATAATGCAAAAATGACATTTCCCAGTTTGCCATTTTTTTCTTAAAACTCAGCATCACTGCTTCTCAACCTACAAAATAGGATCAAATTGCTGTCATTAAACCCCACCAAGAAACCACCTCACAAGAGGATCTGACACCCACTACCCATAAAAGAGCAAGACACATTATGAAGTGAAAACTAGTTATATTTATTGTGTTAAAACAACTGTATGAAATGATTTACAACTCTACTTGTAGAAAACTGAGTAGCTAGGAAAATAGCTACTGCATGGAAAACATAAAAACTAGTTTAACTGCTTTTAGACTATTACTGATATTAGATGGCATCACAAACTAGCAATAGCAGCTTCTGGCAAATGGAAAAACAGCAGCAAAGTCCTGAAGTGAAGTTGTGATCATTAAGCTTGAACTGTTTATTCCACTAATTCTATAACTTTCCTACAATCATTATCTGTCTACACATTTCTACTTCCTACAGGATAAACACCTAGCAAAGTGGTTCTGAGACAAAAGAGATAGAAAATCACATTTATATTTGTCTATAAGACAAATTCAATTGAAGGCAGCAGAGAAAATGGAAATTACTGCAAAGTTATATCTAGTCCTCTAGTCCTGGTGGTGAAGCCTAAAGTTTTCTTCTAATGCTGACCACTTTAAGAAATGAAATTAAGTATCAAAGCTCTTCTTACTTCTCTAGCAGTGATTCTAGCTCTTCTTGCAGAGAGCTGAGCTGCTCCTTTTCTCGGTCTTCCTTTTGTTTGAGTTCATCCAGCACAGCCTGAAATCTGTTCTTGAGCGCCAGGTTTTCCACTTTCATGATGAGATCTTCCTGTCGTTTTGCCCTGTCCTGGGTCTCTTGGAGCTTGCCTTTCATGTTATCAATCTGTTTCTGAATTCCGATAACCAGCTGATTGGTTCCCTCATTTTCTTGGTGCTGTTCATCTGATGCACTTAGCTTGTCCCTTAGCTGTCTTTCCAGATCTTCCTCGGTGTCAATGATGTTTATGTCTTCTTCATCTTGATGCTGTGTCTCATCTTCATCTTCACTGCTGCTGCTGAGGTCATTGAATATCTCCCGAAGCTCATCATGTTCTAATGAGTCATGGCCCTGCCTATGGCCTGACATTCCTGGAGAAGAGATATCAAGGCCTTGATTTTCTGTTTCTTTTGTTTCATCCTCAGCAATTATTTCCCAACGAGTACTGACAGCTTCAGCATCTGTACTCAGCAGACGTTTCACTTCTTTTTCCACATCTGGAGATTCAATGTACTTCTTCTTTGCTGTCTTCCGGAACCTTCTCTTTCTTACATTTTTTAGAGGTAGAGTGATTCCATGGTTCCATATAAACTTTTTCTCTTTGTCCTTATCCTTCTTTTTGCTTGCTTTGGGATCAGCAGCAGCAACTGGTTCCTCCACTGGAGGATACAGATCACCATCAACTGTGGATACAAGCATCTGACAGATATCAGCTGTCTTGTAAAAGGTTTTTTTATCAATGGTTTTCAAACTTTCCATAACACATGGCAGATCTACCAATTTGGAGGCCAGTGGGACCCGGTCCACTCTGACAATTCCATGCCGCCCATCAGGATGTAACTCAATTGTCAGTCTGTCCTTCAAGTTCACATGGCCGGACTGTACTGCGCGCCTCACAGTAGACGCGTATTCCGGAGGTAGACGTAAGATAAACTGGCTCTCTAGTTCGTGAGGAGCATCATCTTTGCTCTTACTCATCTTTGTTTCTTTGTGATCCACTTCTCTAGTAACCACTTGTTGCACTAAAAAGTTCCAGCTATTGCAACAGTTAGAAGAATTATGAATTGAAATATTTAATTACAAAGAGTTCTAAGCAGAACAGCAGCTAAGCGTCTATTGTCTTAATTTTGAATTAAGCACCAAGTCTTTTTAAACATGCAGTGACTGAATACCAGTTGTTTCTCACACTGGCTTATTCAGTCAGGTCCATTCAAGTATGTTAGCCGCAATGCCAAGTTCCAACCTCTAGATGCCGCTGCCGGACAATGCAGAGCGAAAGCAAGCAGGAAAGCAAATGGCGGCTCCTGCGGAATGATTTTAGGGACAGAAAGTTAAGGCCCAGCAGACACTCAAAACCCGCAAAATTTCCCGTAATAAAGGTAGCCAAAAAGCGGGGCGCACTGAGCTCTCTTCGCCTCGGGTACTTACAATACAGTGACGATTATAAACCCAGCTTCTCCGGTCAGGAGCAAGCGAAAGAAGAAGCCACTCGGAGAAAAGCGGCCGGGGGCCGAGCGTCTCCTTCCTGATTCCTTTGTTCCTCCCGGCTCTTGCCAAAGCGACCCGCTACTGATTATCAGTGAAACGGCCCCAGAAGGGCAGCGCGAAATCTTGCCGAGACCCGCAGCTCTAAGCGCCGAGAACCACAGCTCCAAGCACCAGACTCTGCAACTCCGCGACTCTGCAACTCCGCAACTCCGCAGCTCCGCCGACCTCCGTCCGGTACTGCAGACCTAGCAGAAAAGAAAGCGCTACGTCACCGCGCCGGGCGGGAGATGGTTGTGAGTGACAGCAAGACTCAAACGGAAGTACGATCGGCCCCGAGCGCGCGCAGGCGCAACACGCAATTACGCCGTCTGCCGTTGACTTGTTCTCGCGAGACCTTGGCTATATGCGATGGGAATGATTTTTCTTAAAGAGCTATTGGTTTGAGACTACTTTGAGACATCGGTTCCAAGAAAGACCCGGCTAGATATTCCACACCCTCT